TTAGGGGCCCATAGGTTCAACCTTAGGCTATGAAAGCAACCTCGTGCTTACCATCGGGAGGCGAAAGCGCACGCCGGCACAGCCCAGGAGACCCCAAAAAAGTCTTATGGCACCTAGAAGCCCAAAGGTTCAATAATTACCTATACCATTTTGGGGTTCCCTTATGATAAGTATAGTATGACATACCCCAAAACCCTACAGTATATAGTAGAAGCCCAAATGTTGGAAAGCCAATAGCCTCCATCCTTAAGGGTAGTGTATAGGGTTTAGGGTTTAGGGTTTAGGGTTTTGGGGTTTAGGGTAATGTATAGGGTTTACGGTTTAGGGGTTTAGGGTTTAGGGCTTAGGGTTCAGGGTAATGTATAGGGAATCTCAGCACTATTTGTCCTCAAGCCGGTTTCCAACTTTTCGGAGCTTGCTATAACACTCTCCTTAAACCTTCAAGGGCACTTTGCAGTTTAGGGGCGTCCGGTTGTGACAGCGACCATGTTCCACAACTGGTAGTCCGCCTGACCTCCGGATTTGGTTTAGGGCTTCCTTTCGGGTGATCTGAGTTAGCAACAAGGCTTATGAGCAAGGTAGCTATGCTTACAATGGCTTAGAAGCCCAACTATAAAGGTATCGACAACTTAACTTGCCAATTCCTTTCGAAGAAGACAGAGCCACAACGCCCTACTAGGTTGTTTCGAAACCTTCAATAGTCGCAGTGCCAGGTGGGAATGGCAATGCAATCGCGACGACACCCGGGCAACCGAAGACATGTGGAGAAGCGTGAGTTGCACGAAGGAACAACACCTGCATCTCTCATCCCGGGCTGTTAACTGATGGTGTGGTCCGGCGGTTGGGCTTCACGGGTTGGCTTCAAGGTGGCTCTGGGCCAACCTGGTATCTGGTGCTACAAGGTGATCGCCAGGAGCAACACGGAAGACAAGGATGCTCACACTCGCTAATACCTTCCTCCCTCCACGCCCAGTGCTCTTCCTGAAGCTATGGGGCATGTGGTGGGTCACCAGATCATGCCGTCCTCACCCTTGACCCTAAACCCTCAACCATAAACTGCTGCTGTAATCTGCGCACATGTACTTCTTCAACAAGCTACTCGAACTATGCAGATCTCCAAACCACGCATATCAAACACCGAATCTTACATCCTGAAACAACAAACCCCACTCAAACTATACACCCTGAATACAAAACACAAGCCAAGCCCTAAACCCTACAGGAAGCCCTAAACCCCCTAAACCCTAATAGAGCCCTTCTAGATCCCTTGCAATTGTAGAAACCCTAAAACCCCAAACCCTAGACCGATTAAGAGTGCCCTAGCTCCGAAGCCCTAACTCGAAGGCCCCACGGCTCCATGTAATGTAGGAACCTGATTACGAAACCTGGGCCTTTATTAGGGTTCTTAGGGTTTAGGGTTTAGGGTTCCCTAATATATTGGGGTTCTAGGGCCAGGGTTTGTTAATCAGGTTCCTACATTGCCCATGTAGCATGGTAACTTGAAGCCTGAGCTTGTACGGCTTCGGGTCTGAAGCTTGTGGGTTTTAGGATTGTAGGATTTAGGGTTCAGGGTTTTAGGGTTTAGGGTTTAAAGTTTAGGGTTTAGGGTTTTACCCTAAACCCCTAAACCCCTAAACCCTAAACCCTAAACCCCCAAACCCTAAACCCTAAACCCTAAACTGCCAGTCTCAACCAGGGCGCTGAAGCTGGAGCCTTCCTTGGCAGCTCGCGCGGCCCAGCCCTGTGAGATGCCAATGGTCACTGTCCCACCTGGGGCTACAAAGAGAGCTCAATACCAATGACTAGGGAATATCTATATATATGTTGAGGGTTTAGGGTTTAGGGTTTAAGGGTATATATATATATATATATTTATATTTATATATGTCTATATCTGTCTATATGTGTTATATGTATGTATGTTTGTGTTGGTGTGTATGTATACATATATATACATATATATATATATGTATATATATATATACACACACACACACCTTGCAACAGAATGTCGAGACTCCCGTAACTGAAGGTATTTTCCATACTTAACGGTACCCTCACTCAGGAGTATACCTCACAATCTTTTTGTCAAGCCCCTTGAGGTATGCACCATGTTTCAGGGGTTAATGTAGTTAGGGTTTAGGGTTTAGGGTCTAAATAATTACCTATACTATTTTGGAGGTTCGATCCTTATTATAGTTGTAGGATAATATACCCCCAAGCCCTATTAAGGCCCCCATGTTAGTGGTCTCTCTGGGTGAGGTCAGGTTGCGAAGGTCTTGGCTGCTCTAAATGTCTGCATACTCAAAGGGAGTTTTTGCTGGTCTGTACCAGGTTCGAGCACTGAATCAATAGAAGAAACTTGTGCAGGCTTTGTAGGGCTTTACAGAGGGGTGGTTGTCAAAATTATGGTCCCTTATTGGGTCCTTATTATAATACGGCACCCATCATTTAGGGTACCCCAAAAGGGACCATGATTTTGACAACTACCCATAGATCTGTGGGGCGTTAGATCTTTGGGGTTTAGGGTTTGGGGTTTTGCATGGGGCTGCATCTAGTCTGCTTAGGCTTGAGATCGGACCGCAGCTGCAGGATCTGGAACCTTGGGGCGTAACGTAGGGGCGTTCATAAGTAGAATAGGGTTTTGGGCTCCTTTACAGTATAAATATAATAGTGAACACCCCAAAAGGTATAGGTAATTTCTTCCGGTTTCTACAATAGGCGAGGCTTCAAGGCCGAAGCTGTATGATTTCTTGCATGCTACATTCCGGGCGGAGGCTTTGTATGCAGACATGCACTTATGAGTCATGTATCATATAACTACTTCCTAGTATCCCACAGAGGTAAAGAAGGGTTGGTTAAGACAACGCCCCCTCGACCGCATATCAGCAGCTACTGCTACTTACTGTAGCGGCTTTTTGCCGGCTGCTCTCTTGCAGGTTCTCGAGATCTGCCCTCCGTGCTATTGAGTAACGTGGTGGATAGGTTTACCAGCAATCCGGAAGCAGCAACTCGGATCAAGGCTACAGCGGCTACAGGGTGTACGGAGCGTTTCTACAGATCCACCACGTTGTTGCGAGTCGTCAATAACTGATCGTTTGGGGTTATACTTGGCTGACTTCTGAACCCCTCCTAAAAAATAACTTTTAGCTCCCTTATTATAGTTCATATAGAAACCCAAAAAGTTAAAGTCCTAAGAGCCAAGCAAAATAATGCCAAGATATAGGGTCAGCTTATGTGAGGTAGCAGGATTCCCCCTTAGAACTTTACCCGCATTGCATCCTCACCTCTTGCTATAGCACCCTGAGCCACAAACCCGAACCGCAGTGAATCCCTAGAACATGAACGCCGGATCAGTGACTGAGGCCACCTAAGTCCCCAAAGCCGAAACATCCTTGAATCCGAAACCTTAAGCCCTTGCCGGCTCACGAGCGGACTCGTTTCCTGCTCCCTAGTCCTCCCAAGGTTCCAACACTGAAATTGGCTCCAGGTTACGGTTAAGGGTTCAGGGCCGTTTAGGGTTAAGGGTTAATTACGGGTTTAGCAGGCAACCCTAAACCTTAAGCCCTAAACCCTAAACCTAGTCAAGGATCGCCAAGGTTTCGGACGTAGGGTTTCGAGTTTGGGGCTTCCAGAGTCTGCGTTTCATCGTGGAGGCGGTAGGCAGTTGAGGCTTGAGGTTCATCATAAACCTTAACGGTTTAGGGTTTAGGGTTCATAAACCTTAAAGACCCTATAATGTGGGGGCCTTAATGATTAGAGTAAGGCTTTGGGGTATATTATACTATGCAAATAATAAGAAAAACCCCAAACTAGTATAGGCAATTATTTAGAGATACCTATATTACCTTCTAGACGCCCCGCCTGTGTAGAGAATGGCCTCGGCCAGCAGAAGTGTCCAGGCCTTTGCATGGCCTGCCAGCAGTCACCACCCAAACCCCCGGGAGGATCTAAAAAGTAGATGCCCTAATGTGGGACCCTATACTACTAAGGGGTACTTTAAAGGAGCCACCTTAGGGGATCTATTTTTTAGATACCTTGGGTGGTTGGGGCACAGGCCCTCCTGCCTGCACGCGTGAGTGACATGCAAAACACCAACGCCCGAGCTGCGGAAACCCTAGACCCTAAACCCTAAACCCTAAACCCTACCCAAAACCCTAAACCCTAAAGCGGAAGCCTTCGTCGAAGAGAAAGCTGCAGCCCACGATGGCGGAGCAGGCAGCAACAAAGAACAGCGAGGACTCCTGTGAACACGCTTGTCAGAAACCCTCATCCAAACCCCTAAGCCCTAAATTCCTAAACCCTAAACCCTAAACCCCTAAACCCCAAACCCTAAACCCCTAAACCCTAAACCCTTAAGCCCTTAAGCCCTTAAACCCTTAAACCCTTAAGCCCTAAACCCTAGACCCTAAACCCTTAAACCCTAAACCGTAATGATTTAATGGAGGCTCGGAAGTTGTGGGCGGTTCAAGCTTCCCAGGAGAGTGGCTATGAGGGCCTGTCCTCCAAGCACTGAAAAGCCCCTACATTAAGGCTCCGAAGCACTATCCGAAGACCTCGGTGCTTTCGTTTTGGGAAGTTCTGCGTGCAAGTTTAGCAGTCGATGGCAAAGAAGAAGACCGACACGGACTAGATGCGACCCATAACAAGGAATGGAGGTCTTTTTTGCAGAACCTGGAAGGACACCCGGCACCCGGAGCGAAGCACAACTGGACTTCCGAGGACGTTGCAGAGAAAGACGATCAAGCTGGGTAGTTGTCAAAATTAGGGTCCCTTTTTGGGTCCTTATTATACTACGGCACCTATTATTTAGGGTACCCCAAAAGAGACCCTAATTTAGAGAACTGCACCTGACCGGTGACGATGATGGCATTGTCTTTGCCGCAACAGAATGAAGTTGGCCCCGTGATCTGCTCCAGGAGCAATGACCCAGACCCCCGGGAGAATCTAAAAAGTAGATCCCCTAATTTGGGACCCTATACTACTAAGGGGTACTTTAAAGGAGCCACCTTAGGGGATCTATTTTTTAGATACCTTTGGTGGTTTGGGTGACCCGAGATCACGCTAGTGGGCATCAGAAGTCAAAGGCAAAGCGAGGTTTGGGGCTCGGGACGGGCGGTCGCATTTCAGGCGCAAGGCTTCAGCATACTAGCGCAAAATGGTACTGAAAGGATCATGGGACTTAGTGAGTAAGTTTATAAGTCCCTTAATCGGGGTTATGAGTATAGTTACCTTAGTCATAAGCCTACTTACTAAATCCCATGATCCTTTAAGTAGGCCTGTGTCTTACGAAGAAGCAACCAAATCCCTCGCTGTAGGAATCTACGACCCGGCTGTGGTACTTCCACTATGGTTTTGGAGTGAATCTACGGTTAAGAGGGTTTAGGGGTTTAGGGTTAGAAGTATGGGCCCCTGATATGGACCCTTAGGCCTTTGAGGGGACCCTTAAGGGTACCTTTTTTAGGGTATATAGTAGATGTGTAAGGATCCCATACTAGGGGCCCATGGTTTCAACCTCAGAGAGAATCATGGTGCAGCTCTCTAGCCGCTAGGGATCATAAGGGGGGTTATAAAACTAGCGAGTCGGCATGCTTGAGGCCTAGGTCTATGACAAGTTAGGCTTTCTGGGATGAGTACCCTTTAAGTGGGAGTTAGGATTAGGGGGACCCTTCATAATATAGACCCTCTCAATAAGGTCCCTTTTAAGAGAGCCAGAAGTAGGGTTCAGAAGGGTCCCCTTTGAGGGGTCTCCCTAATGCTACCTAGGATTAAGTTATAGTAGGCTGATCTAAGTCCTCAAAAGGCTAAAGTCGGCTAAAGGTCACCTACTCGACCCCTGAGAGGATCAAAAGGCACAGGTGCCAAGTTCGACTCCAAGCTTCTGGGAGTTTCAGAAAAGAAGGGGTACCTTATTTAGGGGTCCTTATAATAAGGATCCTACTATTTAGGGTGCTATATTAGGGTCCCCTACTTCCGGAAACCCCCACCTCTGTGCTGATTGCTACTTAAAGGATCATGGGACTTAGTAAGTAGGGTTATAACTAAGGTACCTATACTTATAACCCCAATTAAGGGACTTATAACCTTACTTACTAAGTCCCATGATCCTTTAAGTACTCGGAGTCTGGGAGCCTTGGACACTCTTCACGCCCGACGAAAAACTGGACCTAACCCCCTATGCCCCTAAGCCCCTCAACCCCTAAACCCTAAACCCCCAAACCCGAAACCCTACCTTCCAACCCTACGCTTTTTCCCCGTGAGATGATTCCGAAGTCCTTGATGGAGCCGGCCTGTACCTGGACAGTGGATCACAGATCAACGTGCTACAACTACAAAGATATAATAAGGATAATAACGACTGCTACTGCTACTATACTTCTGCTGCTATTGCTACCAACTACTACAACAACTACTAACTTACGGCCCCAAAACAGCACATAAGCAAAAAATAGGATAGGGATATCCCATATACATTCCCTTATAATGACGCCCCATACGGTAGGGATATCCCTCTAAAATGCTTCTGCTTATGTCCTTTTTGGGTTCCTAAGAACTTCAAACTCGGAGCCAATACGGAGAACCTCTGTTTGGTGCTTAGAAGGGAATGGGAGGGTTTAGGGTTTAGGGTTTAGGGCTTAAAGGATCATGGGACTTAGTAAGTAAGGTTATAACTAAGGTAACTATACTTATAACCCCAATTAAGGGACTTATAACCTTACTTACTAAGTCCCCATGATCCTTTAAGTGGGGGAATGGATCCGATAGACCCTTAAGGTCCCTTATAGGGTTTAGGGTTTAGGGTCTAGGGGTTTAGGGGTTTAGGGGTTTAGGGGTTTAGGGGTTGAGGGTTTAGGGTCCCTACCTTAAGAACCCGAAACCTACTTTTTTGTAGGGTCCCTATAAATCCCATACAACAAGAACCTACAAAAAAGCAGGTTTTGGGTTCTTAAGGTAGGGTTTAGGGTCCCTATAACCCATTCCCCCATTCCCTACTAAGCCAAACCCTAAACCCTAAACCCTAAACCCTAGGCAGACATTCGCGGGTCCGGGGTGCGAGGAGAAGCGCCGCCAGGGCCACGGCGATGCCCAGGGAGCAGATCTGGGGGCTTGGGAAAAGCAGAAGCCAGAAATTTTTTCAGGGTTTAGGGTTTAGGACTTGGGGGTTCAGGGGTTTAGGGGTTTAGGGTTTTAGGGTTTAGGGTTTAGGGTTTAGGGGTTCAGGGGTTTAGGGGTTTAGGGGTTTAGGGTTTTAGGGTTTAGGGGGAGAGTCTGGAAATTCCAAGTGAGGAATGGTGAACTGGGTTTAGGGTTTAGGGATGTTTAGGGTTTAGAGTTTCAGGTTTGGGGGAGGAATGGTGAACTGACCGATGCTGAGTGCTAACTTTTTTGGCCTTCTTGACGGCTTTCCTTTCGTGCATCATCTCGATGCCGACCGAAGGAGTGGCAGTACGCTTCAAAACGGCATGTCCATCATGACTAGACGCCTCTGATTAAAGCGGTGTGCAAGGGTTCAATGCCCTGCATACTCTCACCTGTCCAGTATCCCAGGGGAACTAAAGGTTAAACTTTAGGATTTTGTTGGGGCTTTTGTACTGGAATAATGCTCCAAAAAGTCTGTTTGCTAACTCACCCTACTACCCAAATAATGCTTCCTGCCAGCTCGCAGGGCACGTGGCATTGTAAGAATACCCCAAACAGGTACGTAAAACCCTAAACCCTAAACCCTAAACCCTCCCTCTTAGGGCTTCCTTTTGCATGCTTTAGGTGGGTTAAAGCAAGTCTTGCCAAGGATCCGACAACAGGGGCCCAACCTCCGGGTTTAGGGTTTAGGGTTTATGAAACAAATCCTAAAGCGAATAAACAGCAAAGCCCAAACAAACCCGCAACAAAAACCCGAAACCAGGCCCTAAATTCCAAACCCTAAAACTCCTACGCCCTAAACCCTGCTGACCACTTCCAGTTGAGCTGAGGCATGGGCAGCAGTAAAACAAATGCCGCTGACGTATGGATCCTCGAAGCAGTTCAGGGTTTAGGGTTTAGGGTTCAGGGTTCAGGGTTTAGGGTTTAGGGTTTAGGGTTTAGGGTTCAGGGTTCAGGGTTTAGGGTTTAGGGTTTAAGATTTAGGGTTTAGGGTTTAAGGCTTTTTAGAAGCTTACGTGTTTAGGGCCCACTTAGGGGTTTTGGGGTAGAGGCTGACCATCTCCGCTCAGGGACGAGTTCGCGACGCCCCGGCTCGTCTTCGGGAAATTCTGAGCCTCAAACCGCACACCGGGTCTCCACCACCATTTCTTCGCGCTCCGAGGATATGGAAGGTGAGCATGGCACTCTTTCTGAACCCTAGACCCTAAGCCCTAAACACTAAACCCTAAACCCTAGGCCCTAAACCCTAAACCCTTCATTGACTCGAGGTCTTCCGTCTGGAAGCATGGCGTCCACAAGCCGTCACGTGTGAGATAGCTGGTGAGGACTACTTGGAGGGTCGGGGGACTTAGTAAAGGGTTATTTTATAGACGTATAAGTACTTTAACCCCAATCAGGGTCCCTTTTAAGGTGCTTATGAGGCTACTTATTACCTACTTACTAAGTCTCCCGACCCTCCAAGTACAGCAGAAGGTTCCGTGGGGGTTTAGGGCTTAGGAGTTGTTGGGTTTAAAGGTTCTAGGGTTTAGGGGTTTAGAGTTTAGGAGTTAGGGATTAAGTGTTTAAAGGTTTTAGGGTTTAGGGGTTAGGGTCCGCATATGGGGTGGGGGCAAGAATCTGGAACAGGTGGCAAGGTCCTAAAACAAAGCCATCCCTCAACCCAAAACCCTAAACCCTCCCTAAAACCCTAAACCCTAAACCCTCCCTAAACCCAAAACCCTCCCTAAACCCTAAACCCTAAAAAAACCTAAGCCGGCCCAGCGTTTGGGTAGGCTGGAGCAGCCCCGGCACCGCCTGCACCCTTGAATTCCTCGTGGCTGGGTCCATCCTCTGCACCCCTCAAGTCGCTTGTTACCAGATGGGCTGTAGGGGCCTCGATGTTTAGGGTTTAGGGTTTAGGGGGTTCTCTATCATAATCATAATATACTATACCCCAAACCCTAGTCTAAATCTTAAGGCACCTTTCTAACCTTCAGGTTCCCAGAGAACCCAATACACCTTAATTCAGGAATATACGTTAAATTACGGGGGCCTTGATATGACGATTCAAGGTATATTACTCCTTAATGAAGGAATATACCTCAATATTATCGCCTTCTCGACTATCCATTTCAGCATTGCTTGTGGGGGGGGGGGGGTGGTGGGGTATGTGGGGGGGCGGGCTGGCAAACATCCACAAAGCAGTGCTGTCTAGCTTTTTTGTTTCGTGTCTTCTAATCCCGCGTAGCATCTGCGGCATTTGATCTTGGCGATGGTTCGTGGGTTGCTTAGCTTTGCTGTCGTGCTTCCAGGACGTCAGTTCCGGGACTGAGGTGGCGGCTTCACGCGTACTTATGGTCTGGCCAGAAGTCCTTCTGGAGCATGCTTCGGGGAAGCCGTTGTTTTCCTGTTGTGCCTTGTGAGGCGAGTTTTTGGCGCCGGACGCTGAAGTCGAGGCCGTGCTCTCTGTCCCACCGGCACCAACCGGTGGCAGCGGAGCCGTGGCAGGTCTCTTCCTTGGTGTTTGTCACTGACGTGCTTGTGCGTGTGTGCGTGTCTGCCTGTCTACGTGTGCATGTGCGTGTGTGTCGGTGTGTGTGCGTGTCTGTGTGCGTGTCTGTGTGCACATGCATGGTGTGCGCGTGCGTGGTGTGCGTGTGCGTGCGTGCGTGTGCGTGCGCGTGTGCGTGCGCGCGCGCGTGGGTGTGTGTGTGTGTGTGTCCAACCCTGCGTGCAAGGGTCTGTCCGAATGAAGTGTCATGATATCTCAGCAGGGGGCCAGCGAGAAACAGGTAAGATGAGTGCGATTGAGTGCGTGCGCTGGCCAACGAAGACCGCGTACTCATCTACCTATCATCTCGTGTAAACGTACACGCAAATATTGCCTGACTGTTCTTGCACATGAGTGAATGCTGACTACGCACAATTGATTCTGCTGCTTGTCTGCGTATTCTTCCAAGGTTCTGATTGAATGAGCGCCCTGCGCATATATTATTGAGGCATCAGGTCCAAGGCTGATACTTGACACTCACGGACTTCCTTTGATTTCGAGTGATATACCTGATTTTCAAGACCGATTTGAGGCTTGCAACACATTGTGTCAAGTGTGTGCATGTGTGTGCATTTGTGCGCGTGCGTGTGCGTGTACGTGTGCGTGTGGTTTGTGTGTGTGTGTGTGTAAAACCCTAAAGTCAAGGGCACTTTCGAAAGTAATTACGTGTGAAACAAGAGAGTACATGGGCCATCCCTCTTGTCACTGGAAGAAGCCAATGACAAGAGCTGAAAACGCACCTGCATTAAAAAGGAGAACGAGACAGTAGGCTGCGAGTGTAGAAATACGTGCTAACCCATGTTTGGCTGCGGTCACTCGAGGGTTACATCAAGTGAGTGAGTTATAGTGAGTGAGTGAGTGAGTGAGTGAGTGAGTGAGCGTGCGTG